TGCATTCCGTAATATTTATAATTGTGTATTTTATGGCGTCAAGCGGAAACCAAAGATTTCGCTCTGCGCATTCTTCCGTTGAGTGTTAGAGACATAATTTAATTTTCAAATCAAACCCAGTTTTGTTGAATTCGTTATAACGGTCTGTACATCAAGTATCAGAATATAATAAAAAGGAACCAATTCCATTAACTATTTCCTGACAAATATCAGTTTCTGTTTTCACTATTTATGTTGCATACCTTTGATTACAGTTTTCATTTTTCCTCCATTTTATCATCACAAATCATGGGCAACAACAGCATCACCAACTAACACTACTTCGGGGGGGTCAGAGGGATCTTCGGATGCTTTTAACCAGCTTTCCCACAAGTTATGATAGTAAAACATATACATCCCGGTTTGTTCTTAAATCCATGTGAGACGCTGCTATGAACTTCAACCCCTCCCAAGACTGCATAGAACTTTCAGTATTTCATAGTTTGGCTAATTGCCCGAATAAAAGACAATAGACAGATTTACAAAGATGACCGATGTAGTGCATTTTTGGAAAATTTCCTACAGGTGCGAGGTTTCTTCTTCGTTAGAGTAATCCAGCTTCATTATTCCCTCTCCCTCCCCTCCTTAAAAGAGGTTTTATTTGTCGATTATTACCTTCGTGAAGCCAAGGGAGATCCACTCTTGATATCACGTGTTTATTACAATAATTTGAGTTCCGTATTATTTAGATTAATATTTTAAAGGAATACACATAGACTGCAATGTTCTCTCGAGAGTACGACACGGATTAACTCCAACCTTTTTTCTTGTTTATCAACTCTGTACTCACGCAAATCGTGCCAACTGGAAAATGAAAAACTCATGAAGAGTTAGTCATCGCGCACATAGAGCTTACCGTTTCCAGAAAGAAGCTCCAATTAGACTGTAACAAGTCTTGACTGTAATTTTTGGATAAAAGTTTAGTGGTTCTTACAAAACAACGAATGCTGAGACCAGACGTTTCTTGTAAAAGAGAAGAAAATTGTTTCAGTTTTGCATGCTCAAATCCATCATGGCTAAAGGAAGGTACGTCAAGCGAGCCTGAGGACAATAATGACTATTAAACTTATATATATCAACAAAGTTGAAATGGTAAATTGGGCTCCGTAATGATTATAAAAGCTGACGTTTCGAGCGTTAGTACTTCGTCGTTAGCCCTTAGTCTATTCGCTCTGACGAAGGGCTATCGCTCGAGACGTCAGCTTTTATAATCGTAATGGTGCCCAATTTACCATTTCAACTTTGTTGATATATTCAAATTATTTCGTTACCCCCACCGACGTAGCCCCAATCAGTTTCTTTAGAAACTATCAGCCTTTATTAAATTTACAGTCGAACAGATGTAGCGTAAAAGATAGATAACCGGCACATTTTATTGGCCACCTGATATGACTGCCAATCACTATACATTTCATTTCTCAGTTAAAACTATTCAACGATGTTACTTGAAGATCACACCTTCCCGTTAATAATCTTGTGCATCGTTATCACTATAGCGAGTTCGCTAGGTAATGGGCTAATCGCTTGGTGCACTACTTTTAATGTGCCGGAGATTAAACTTAAACAGATGACCATGCAAGTCCAAGGTTTTCTCTTCGTAAGAGTGGTCCAGGTTCATAATCCCCTCTCCCTCCCCTCCCTAAAAGAGGTTTTATCCGTCGATCATCACTTACGTGAAGCCAAGCGAGATACCCTCTTGACATCACGCGTTTATCACAATAATAAGATCTCCGTATTATTTAGATTGATACTTTAAAAGGATTAACCGTAGATTGCAATGTTCTCCGTAAGGGTACGACACTAATCAACTCCAACCGTTTCTCTTATTTATCAACTTTCTTCTCTGACGCAAATCGCACCAAATGGAAAATGAAAAACTCATGACGAGTTAGTCATCGCGCATATATAGCTTACCGTTTCAAGAAAGAAGCCCCAATTGTGCTGTAACAAGTCTTGACTGTAATTTTGGGATAAAAATCCAACAGTTCTCGTAAAACAACGATTACTGAGATCAGACGTTGCCTGTAAAACAGAAGTAAATTGTTTCACTTTTGCATACTCAAATCCATCAACAGAAAAAAAAGTTATGTTAAGCGGGCTTGAGGAGAAGTATGACTGTGAAAATTACAGTCGAACAGATTCAGTGTAGGAGATGGATAACCAGAGCATTTTATTGGCCACCTGATATGACTGACGCATGAAAGCTCGTTTAAACAGCCTAAAGTTATTAAATCAAGGGTTTTCAATGAGCACAATCCAGTCTATCAGTTTCAAATATTTCAATGATTTCCCATAACTAATAAATAATTTTTTGTCTGACTGCCAATCACTAAACATTTCATTTCTCTTTAGAATTATTCAATGACGTATAGTTCCGTATTATGTAGATTGACACTTTATAAAGGGATTAACCGTAGATTGCAATGTTCTCTTTAAGAGTACGACAGTAACTAACTCCAACCGTTTTTCCTATTTATCAACTTGTTCTCATGCAAATCGCACCAAATGGAAAATGAAAAACTCATGACGAGTTAATCATCGCGCACATATAGCTTACCGTTTCAAGAAAGAAGCCTCAATTGTATTGTAACAAGTCTTGACTGTAATTTTGCGATAAAAATCAAACGGTTCTTGCAAAATAGCGAATACTGAGACTGGATGTTGCCTGTAAATGAGAAGTAAATTGTTTCAGTTTTGCATGGTCATATCCATTATCGGTAAAAAAGGGACGACCCATGAAAACTGAAATACTTGTACATTAAATAGTGCCTCAAAAGTAGGATAATAAATATCCACCTTTCCTCACCTTTCCCTCAATGGAAGGAAAAAAAATCAATTTGATTTTAGCTTTTGTAATTAACATTCGGTGACTATACTTTTCCCATCACGGTTGGAATTTTGCTCGAGGTTGGAAATAGCATTTTTGCTAACTCAGAGGATATCGGAATTTAATTATCAGAGAAAGTAGCTTTATTTAATTCAACATGTCCGGTTTTGGTTAAATACGAGTTAATCAATCGAGTTTAGTCAGTGTTTAAAAGGTCTAAATGGGGTTATAAATGTTTAACCGACCTCACCGTTAGTGAATTTCTTTCAATTTTTATCGCACATATCACTGTTTTCTTCCGACAAATCGTTAATCACAGCATTCAGAACATAATCAGGTCTGTAACAGTTTTGAAAAACGAATCTCGAAGCCGAAATGATTTCTTTAGTCTTTTAACACTGAATAAAAAAAGAAAGGCAGTGAAACGGTTTTTTAAAAGACAGTACTTACCCGACCTGTAGCCTTCAGTGCCTTGCTTTGAAAATAAAATCAGGTATATTTCTTCGTCTTTTCAGTATTTTCTAACCTACGTCATACGCCAGTCATATCGAGCAGTCATCAAAATTTAGTTATACATCTTTCACACGGTCATTCTCGTCCTCGGGCCCCGGCGCTAAATAGAACGGCTCAACGTAAGCGCCATTAGAAACGCTCCTCTCTTCAGAACTTTTAATTATTATATTGATGATATTAAGTATCAATTTATTCAATTTATTCAACCTCTCCTTCTGTTCGATTCCTGTCAATTTTCTCCTTCTGTTCGATTCCTGTCAATTTTCCTTAATCCGCTGACCAGGTTATAAAGTGTTGGCATTCGCATGCGGCCATGCGCTTAAGTCGAAAAAGGTTTATCCAGTGTTTCCTATTTGTGGATCGTTTCTGCAGGGTCGATAGCGTATGATTTTTCGCTTGAAGTTCTCACTTTCAAACCAATAGCCCATTTCCGAATTACCCTTGGCCTCCTTTTCAAAACGGGGCCTGGTGCTTAACCATTCTTGTGAAAATGAGTTTACAGTAAATGGCTTGAACCCGGGGGTAACATGTGAAGGTGTAGTCTGATCGTCCGGGTGAGTGTAGTCCTGAGAAGGACTGTTGTCGGTGGTAGTGACTGACGTTTCGACAACCTGTGCGGAAGTCACCATCAGAGTCGAGTGATGATGATTCACTCGACTCTGATGATGACTTCCGCACAGGTTGTCGAAACGTCAGTCACTACCACCGACAACAGTCCTTCTCAGGGCTACACTCACCCGGACGATCAGACTACACCTTCACAAAATGAGTTTATCTTATAATTTGCATGTGAATGAAAACTTATAATCACATGGAAGGATGAGCACCAGGACTCGTTTTGAAATTGAGGCCAGGGGTAATTCGGAAATGGGCTAATCAAATGCTGCATAGTATTGACGCTATACTTTTGATAATTCTAACTGACCTTTGCCGTAGCTTGAATTTTTTGTTGGAGGGAGTCACATTGAATTACAGTCAAGGTTCCCCCCCAGATGTCAAAGGTTTTTATGCTGGAAGTTATTAAAGTGTGGATGAGTTCTGAGTAATCCATGTCGCGTGGATGCTTCCAACTCGCGCTTTTTTACGATACCGGAACTGGACGGTTTTTATACGCGTACAAACAAATCATCTCACAACGGAGGTGGGGGGTTGTTACCCGGCACGGTACATAAGTGCAATGTCTGCCCGAGCCGACATCACTCCGAGGTACACATGGCGATCAACATCAGCTATAAACAGTATATAGAAAGCGACCTTCGCAGGGACCCAGAAACCGTCTACGCTCGCTTCGTTAAATATGCCGAGCGGCTCAAGAATAACCACTTGAAAGCATACAACATTACGGACAAGGCACAAACAGCGATCGCTGTTCCTAGATTGGATAGGCGAAGCTACTCTGGACATATTCGAACAACTTAGCAACACGGGAACAGACTTGGACGGGGCAGTTAACGCACTACGAGACAAGTTTAGGGAATCTCAGAACCGGCTCTACAACATACACAAATTTCGCTGCATCAAACAGGGAAAGGACGAAACTTGGGACTCATTCACTTCAAAGCTTAGAGCGGAAGGCGAACATTGTGACTTCCCGGCGGGTTGGTTGGATACCGAGATACTAATGGCCATGATCGAAAGCGGAAAATCCAAGAGAGCAAGAAGAAAGCTACTACAAGACCAGCTAACACCAGCAGAAACAATCAAATATGCCAGAGGCCTCGAAAGCGCGGATCAACACGCCACAAAAGTGGAGAACCAAACCCCAACGGACGTCACCGTCAAACAAGAAGTGGACAGAATCATAGTGGACGAAACAGGAAAAAAGTCGTGTTTTAACTGCGGGAAACAGTGGCCGCACCAAGGAGGACAAAGAAAATGTCCGGCCTTTGACAAGCAGTGTATGCGATGCGGAAAAAGGAATCACTTCGCGAAGTATTGTATAAGCAAACAAGAAATTAAAGCCACGAAAGAATTAGCATGCGGAGGCGAACAAAAATCTGACACCTCATCCGAGAGCAGCGAAGAGTCCACGCTTACATTGGAAATGGTTAATAATAATAATAATAATAATAATAATATATTTATATAGCGCCTACCCTTTTCAGTGCTAAGCGCTTTACAATGCTTCAAAAAGGATTAAAATCATATACAAATATATCAATAATAACAAAATGGAGTACCTAGGATAGTTCATAAACTTGCTTAAAAAGAAAGGTCTTCAATTTAGATTTGAACTTGTTTACATCGTCGATTGATCTAATCTCAATAGGTAGATCGTTCTTAAGTATAGGGGCAATAACTGAGAAAGCCCTTAAACCGTATGTCTTTAAGTTATAGGGTTTGATAATAAGACGCCACTTGTCTGAAGATGAGCGAAGGTACCTGGTAGGTTCATAAACATGAATTAGGTCAACCAAATAATCAGGAGCTAAATTGCTGAGTATCTTAAAACAAATAAGAATAATCTTAAAGATTATTCTTTGCCCCACCGGCAGCCAGTGCAGCTCCTTTAGAGTATCGCTTATGTGATCAAACTTACTTAAGCAAGCAATCACACGTGCTGCAGCATTTTGGACACATTACAGTTTGTTAATTTCATACTTGGGAAGACCATGCAAAAGCGAGTTGCAGAGATCCAGCTTTGAATTTACAAATGCGCGTACAAGAACTTTAGCTGTTGTGACACTGATATAATTACGAATCTTAGCTATATTTCCGAGGTGGTGGAATGCCCCTTTAACTATGTTTTGAATATGAAAAGACATCATTAC